TGTTTGAGTTAGGATTAGGGTTATGCTCATAGAAATGAATGGAGAGTCCCCACAATAACAGGAATATATGAACTTTGAAGCATTTCCATTGTGCCAACATCTACATCCATCTTGATCCAGCACACATGCAAATGTTCAGAGTGGATTAGTTGATCCTCCTCCACCTGTTTTTTGATTCCACTCCAGAATGAAGAAGTGCTGAAAAAGTGTGCCCAGGAGTATCTCGCGCGAGTGAAGCAGGAGGAGCAGCGATACCAGACCCTAAAGATTCATGCTGAAGAGAAACTGGAGAAGTAAGTCCTGAGGCAATACGACAACAAAAGAGTGACACCAGATTAGCCATATTGTTAACAGGAAATGCCTCGCTGTGGTTTCCATGGATACTAATGACTGTATCCCCCCTCCTCTTTGTCAGAGCCAATGATGAAATAGCTCAGGTGCGCGGCAAGGCCAACTCGGAGGGTGTGGCTCTCCACGCCAGCCTGAGGAAAGAGCAGATGAAGGTGGAGTCTCTGGAAAGAGCCCTGCACCAGAAGGTGAGACTGAGCTCCCTGCCTGCACAACAGAAAGCCTTTGGACCCCAGTATCACTGCTCCTTGATTTAATGATCTTCCCGAATCTCTTCCCAGAATCAAGAGATCGAGGAGCTCACCAAGATCTGTGACGAACTGATTGCAAAGCTGGGGAAAGTAGACTAAAAAAAAACAATCAGTAGATGCTACAAAGTTAGTAACTGAAAAAAACAATATCAAAGCCTGACCCGCAGTCCCACTCATACGCTTTCTCCTAAACACTGTGCACATGACAGCCAGCGCCACCTAGCCGCACTCAGCAGGCATGCAACAAGGGATGGGCGTCGCATTTCGGCATTCCCTTTGCCCTTCCGTCGCAGCGTCGCCACTGATAGCTGGCCCGTGCAGATTCGCGTTTCCCTTCCAAAATCCAAAAGTCTTTGGGACTGAACAATCTTACGAACATTTAATCCACAAGACTGAAAAAAACACCTTCATGTAAAAAAATGGGATGCTAAGACTGTGATGTAGTTGGTCGTGCAGGCAGTCTGTTTGTGGTCATTTGATTGTGTTTTGGATCTTGAATTGTAGTTAAACCAGAAACAGAGGAGATAAACCCTTCTGCTGTTTATGGCCCTCAGGCCTCAGTGCCAGCCACGGTCAGGGCTGGGAAGAGGCTTCCGCTTTGCTCCTTGGTCTTAGGTGGGGTCTCAGAGCTGTCAGAAGACACAGGAGTCTCATAACCAGCCTGCAGTCCTCCTGCAGAACTTCCCACCAGCCGCTTCCTTCTGTTTACACAGCCAGACTGCTGCTAGCAGGTCAGCAAGATGTGACCGGCTTGGTATCTCCTTCCATCATTATTAGCCAACCTGAAATGTACATGCAATGGATTTCTGTGCTCCTTGTTGCCCTTGGTGTTTTTAACTGTGGTGAGTTGTGTCTGTTTCAAGGGCCGGTAAAACCAAGTATGTACAGAACATATGTGTATATTTCGTTGTCGATAGATGGTAATCTGATTCAATAATGATTTTGATATTATCACCTGGATTTATGATTTTCTGATTATCTAAGGACCTTGCACATGGCTGCTGTTTAGCTATTCGTTTATGGGAAACTGCAGCCTCTCATTCTAGCAGACGGAATTCCTGACCTGATTGGTCCGATTTAATTTGGCCAAACACTTGGAATTGCTTAAAGAGACAGAGACACGTGCCAGGAAACTAAATGTTTTTTTATAACTTATGTAACTGAAATAGTTGCACAATGTGTGCTGTTATGTACAACCAACCTCTTCAAGAAAGTTCCATTTGGAGGTTCACAGTATTTAGCAATAACTTTCCCACCCATCATAAATGGTGTTTGGAGAAATTACTCTTCAGAATCCACTGTATTACTATTCAGTACCGTTACCATTAATAGCAAGCAGTGATCAATCATCAAGTTTAAATGGGTTGAACAGCTTAGCGATTGACAATGCATGATAATCCCACCCTAAAGTAGGATATAAAGGCACTTGGCAGCTTACAACGTAACGTACCAAACATTTGATGATGTTGCAGTTGTGCATCAGTGTTGAGACGGGAAGGTAATAGGATTTACGTCACACCTTTATGCCAATGAACAAGCGCTGGCTGAAATGTTGGCGTGCAACGAGAACAGAATCATACGTGATTTACATATGAAGTACAATAACCCTGGAGACTGTTGAACACCCCAGGTAATGTTCTCTGGTGTTATATTTACGAGTCCAGTTGCATTTGCAGGTCATTGTAGATAAAACATTTCGGGGAAGTTAAGTGTAGGAAATGCATCCATTTGTTAAGATGGTGTGTGTACTATGAATTGCAATAATGCCCACAAATCTTTATGTACAGTCTGACTGTAGTGTATCCAGCATCAAGTTAGATTATGACCATTGCAAAGGTTTATTGTGAGAACAGAAAATGCCGCAGATCTGCACTGAAACGCAGTGTCCGCAGTGTCCTTTGCAGTGACCCTTTTCCACTGGCAGACCACACTGTCAGTCACCAGAACATGTAGCCATCTTAGTGCCAAATTGCAATTGCTCTGCATTGTTTTATCTGCACTTCTCTGTTTTCATTTGGACACAGAAATATAATATACACACACACTCACACACACACACACACACACATATATATATACACATATAATTTTATATGCAAGTAAATCTCATGATATTTGTAAAGTGGAAAAACCTACAAAGATGTAATTAAATGTTTTACTAATATATATTTTTGATCATATATGCCTGAATAAAAATCTAAATAATTATTACGGTGTTTTGACCATTTTTGTTCCCGATGATGCCTGTTCCTGTCTTTCATTTTATAATCACTCATGGGTGGCCACGCATGTCCTTTGTCCCTGAGGGTCATTCTGGTTGTCATGGAATCCTCTTATGTCAAGGACAATGGTTATTCGTTTGCAGCAGGAAGAGGGATTAGACCTGGATTAACGGCCAGGTATCCTGGGCCTCTCATGAAGAGGGCATAGACATCCTGTACTTAGTCCATGATGAAGACTAGCAGGCACTGCAGCACCAAAGAAAGGAACTGGAAGCCAGAAAAGGTTTTCAGACTGATTTAGTGCAATTGACACTGAGCAATGTACATTTACCTAAATTATTTATGCTTGAGAGTTTAGCTGGTTGGTCAAACAAATCTCTTTAGACAAAACTGAGGGTGTGTGTGTTTGGTATACAGTACGGCATTCCTGATTTCTGAAGAGAAGACTCCCTCCACATTGAAATTGGTGTATAATTTCTCAGAAAAGTCAGTGACTGGCTGTAGATTCCACAACAGCATTCATCTGAGAAGGTCCCGAACAGAAGCATGTTCCACAGCTCATTGGTTAATCTTGTTCAAAGCCCCAGTTAATCTCGTCCCATGTGACTTGGAAACCTCCTCAACAGGTGTGAGTTCTGTGTCGTCCTGTGGCTGCAATTGCATGCCCATCATGTCCATCTCCAAAGCTGCCACAGCGTCTAAGCCAATGATCCTTCAATGCTGGGCGCCTAGACCAAGGAGGGATTAGCCCCAGCTTCTCAGCCATCTCCTCCCTCAGCTGTACCACCATTCGGCCGACTTGAACCATGAAGTCTCTCCTGGCGATGCTGGTCCTCCTCACCATTGTCGTGCACAGTGAGTACATCCTGCACTTTCCCAAAAATTTCTTTCGAAAAACCCAGAAGGGTATCTTCTTTCAATATTTCCAACAAAGCAAAATAACTGCTTAGCAGAGCAATAGAAATATGTCTGTATTCCCGCCTCTGGTGTAGCAATGTGTGTAGTGAATTTTTTTTTATCACAGAATACAAGTGATTGTCTTCACGTAATTTGAAGCTGTAGATATATTTTCCAATTGGCATCAAGGAAAAGAACATTTTTTTCAGATTTTGACCTGTTTAAGTTAATTACTGCTAAATAAATGTGCACTCAAGTCTACTAGTTCTTCCGTAAAATGTTGAATGAAGTACTAGACAGTGCAAACAATTTGATATGTAAATTACTGGGTTTGATGACACGTGGCATTTGTTGTGATAACCATGGACAAAAAATGATGATTGAGGCTGAAGTAGATCAGACCTCCTCATTGTCCCTCATTGTGTAAAGTGCCCAGATTCCTACTGCTTAATTTTAGATTAGCTGTTCTCTCCTGTCCCGTCTGCGAAGACAAGGCGCTGAAGTGCCACACGTGCGTGGCGGGCAATGAGGATGAATGCAACCAGCAGGGCACCTCCAGCTGCCCGCAGTGCGCAGACGCCTGTGTCACCATCATGGGGCCCAGTGAGTAAATCCTGCACTGTCCCGACTTAATAGAAGTGTAATACCATACATGAGTAGTTTCATGCTGCTGTAAGTGGGGCCACACTGGGTACCACTGCTGCTTCACACCTCCAGGGGAGGGAAGCCAGTTCCTACCTCTTTGGTGTGTGGTGTTTACATGTTCTCTGTGTTAAGTTGTTTTCCACTGGGAACTCTGGTTTCCTCCCACAGTCCAAATACAGTTAAGCTAACTGGTGTCTCTAAACTGTCCATAGAATAGGATTGAGAGTATGTGCCCTCTGATGGGCTGGCATCTCATCCAGAGTGTAACCCAGACTAGTGCCCAGTGCTACCTGGTACCGGCCCCAAGACCCTGCAACCCCTTTACCATGACAAGTGGTCAGGATGGCTCAGCGTAAATTCAACTCTCTGCTGTAATACGCCATTATGTCCACACGGTGGTAGCATAGCACATTTATTTGTGTCAATACGTTATAACATCTTCATTTGTGCTATGTAAAGTCACACATTGTTGGATTACTGCCTTCATCTTCATCTAACTCTTGATTTATAAATGTATTGTGTTACATGTCTAAATATTTCAAGTACAAAACTGCAACTCAAACAAATTTCATGATATAACAAATAGGGATGTTCCCTTTACTGTCCACGGAGAGGGACAAAATATTTTATTACATTCTCTTCCAAGCCAAGCCTTTTTAATCTCAGGCCCACTATGTTCATGCTTTTCCTGATGAAATGCTGCTTTTTATGTAGATTTTAATAGGACAACTAGCCCAGGGGTCCAGTGTGCCCCCCAACGTGGACCTACCAGCAGTAGCACATCACATATTGTCACATCTACCTACCCAAACGCCACCCCCCCTCCCTACCTCATTCTACCCCTCCCCACTTCTCTCCCTCAGGTACCGTTGTGAAATCCTGCTCCTACAAGCCTTTCTGTGACAAGGCTCATCACAATACTGGGGGAGTGAAGATGGAGTGCTGCTTTACTGACGACTGCAATGGACCTCATCGTTCCCACAGCCACGGGGAGGAGAGTGCTGCCCCCAGCCTGGGCACCAGGCCTGTCCTGCTGCTGCTGCTCCTGCTGCTTCAGCTGATAGTCAGCAAGCTGTAGCTCTCGCCGTAACGGCCGCTGCATCCCCTAACCCACCGCTTACACCCTGCGGCTTAGATAGAGCACTTTCATGCCGCATGGAGAAAAGCCCACAAACCACAGGTGACAGAGCTGCAGGGCTTTTGCTATGTATTATAAGTTAGTCTTAACTGCACTGCACTGTGAGTCACTTTGCTGTAACCTTTGCAGACTAACCTCCTGCTCAGTAATGCATAGAATGGAAATTTTCTGGAGCATCATTAAATCTGAACTTGCTCATGGAACATCATGCGTTGTTGTGTTTATGAACGATGTTGGAGGATTTTCCTACACTCTCTCCTACTATGACACGTAGAACCTAAGAGTAAAACACGCAGAAAGAGGAGACTTCAAGACTCGGAAATGACCAATGTTTTAATAAGAATAAGATTTTAATAAACACGCAGTTTCAATACTGGCTGTGGAGGCGGCAGCAGTTGCGTGAGCGCCCAGTGCGGTCAGTTGACGCACTCTCTACCATCCCTCAGAAATTGACTTGGTGTACGCTGGGGGTTCGGCAGTAAGCATAATACACGCGTGCTGGAAGCTGTGTTATATTGCTGGTAAGCTCTTTTTTTTTTTAATAAAGATCCTGCAATTACAAAATTACCAATATTAAGCAGTTCGTTTCCTTGTAGTTGGAGAGATGGACGGGGCTGAAGTTGGCTCCTTATTTGGATTTTCCCGGTCCACCTTAAATGCTGAGCAGCCGAATGCAATGACGCAATTGCGCCTGTAGGGGGCTCATTTAGTGAGGTTTACGTTCAGAACTTCATTTGGCTTTCGATTCATATTAACTGAACACAATTCTACTGACTTGTTGCCACTTTGAGGAAAGTACATATCTGGGCAGATTCAGTAATAGTATATGTGCGTATTTTATCAGAAAATGAGACAAACGCAAACGTCTTTCCACTCCCAATCAGGCCCGGAAATATGCCCAGTCAGGTAAACATGAACTTCTCAGTACACGTCAGGGATCCCACTATATAGAAAAAGTGACATTATCCTGGCCCAGGCTGATTTAATGCTTTAAAAATCAGATGGAAACAAGGCATGTCATACTATAGTGCACAAAGGTGTGAATGAGAAGCCAGGTTTCCATGCTCATTGTTATACATTAAACATCTCTGGGCTGGGCAAATATCAACTTCTCAGAACATGTAACATATCCCACTATACAGAAAAAGTGATATTGTCCTGGCCCAGACTGATTTAATGCTTTAAAAACTTCAGCCTCATTGTGCGCACTTAAGTTAGACTATGCAAGTCTGTCTTGTATGAGCCTTGATTAGTTACAACAGAACTGCGTTAGAGATGGCGTTAGTTTGAGTCTGACTTTTTCGGGAAAGTCTGGCTTTCTTTAGCTACTTTCATGGAATACTCCTCAGGATTCCTAAAAAAGATCATTTATGCTGTTTTTTGGTCATATGGAATTTCCTACACTGTATCATTGATGATCAGGCACTTATTTGGAATATCACTAAGTTTTAGTTGTAGAATAATTTCATCAGGTTAATGTTTTATTGTACGATAAATAATGACTGTGCATGTGAACCATATCTGATGTGTTGTGGTTGGGACGTTAATTGAGGGAGCACCGGGTCTCATCCTGATCCTTTTCCCATATTTTAACATGGGTGAGAGACGTCGTATGCTAACGAGCTTGGCAATTGTTAGCTAAGGCAGTCCACCATTTTTCTTAATTTTTTATTAATTCGTGTTATATTCTGGTCATTTGATTTAATGTATGTTACTAATGTGATTTATTCAGTTTTATGTGATTTATGTTTATGTTTACCTCTGGCCCACGGTAGATGGTGAGAGTGACGTTGGCCATGGGTTAATTATCTTGTCGATTTTCAGTTCATTCAAAGTCCAGTTGATAAAAGTGAGATATCAGATTAGGAAGCTGCCGTCTGGCGCCCCTTGCAGGTCAAAGCATCACTGCTGCGATATCAAGCTGCTGCACTAACTCGAGACCGCGGACTAATTATGTTACTTAGTTACGCTTCGAGCAGTGCTGAATCAGGACATTAATGGGATAGAATATGAAGCCTTTATTGTCAGTGTACAGGTAGGAAATACAATATACAGTATAGACAAATATACATGTACAGGTGAGGGGAAAAGCGCCCCCCCCCCCATCAGGGTTACATCGGATTACATTTTATTCAGAACCAGAATTCAATTTATTGGTACAACTGCATGTACTATGAATATGTTCTGGCAGAACTGGTGCATACATTCACAGACAACATAGAACATAAATCAGAGGAAAAACTGTCATTTCTCGTATTTGCTCCACTTTCCAAACCCAGTCATTTGTTTGTCTACCATACATCACACTTCAGAGTAAAAATGGTTATACTGTTTAAAAGGCAGAGATTTTACCTTTTTGCCATTGAGAAGCTGCGACATGTGACACTCTGATAAGGAGAAAATTATTCCTCCAGCACATAGTGAGCTATCCCAACATGCACAGGGACACTGAGCAGTTTGTATAAATCCCAAACCCTGGGCAGAGGGGTTCAGTGAATGAGGAGGTGAAGCTGCACAGGAGGGTCAGTCCATCAGAGGAGACTCTGTAGAAGGACAGAGTACCAGCCGCCCAGTCCAGATACACTCCTACTCTGCGGGAGCCTGAGGGCTCTATGGGTATGACAGTCCGTTTATTATTGTGACAGACAGAGTAACTGTCAGAAGAGCAGCTCAGACTCCATGACTTGTCATTGGCTCCAAGCACACAGTCAGCACTCACTCCTTTCCTCCCGATTCCTTTATAAGTCACTCCTATCAGCACTCCATCTCCGCTCCAATCAGCCTCCCAGTAACAGCGACCAGTCAGACTCACTCTGCACAGCACCTGGGGCACCCCGCTGTAAAATCTCTCTGGATGATCAGGATATGCCTGCCATGCCCCCCATGTCACCTTCCTGTTCCCCTCTGACAGAGACAGGCGGCCGTGTGCTGTGTTGGGGTCCAGCGTCAGCTGGCAGGAGTCTGTAGGCAAGAGGAAGAGCGATTAATCCCATTGCGAAGCCCAGCATCTCCATCATTATCACTGTCACACCTCACACACAGAACTCGCTCCAATACACACATTTTATTCCCAATATACTCATGTAGCCGCCCGAGTCTGCGGCGCTCCGGCTGCCCCCTGCGCTGTGAGACTCACTGGGGACCGAACTGCACTTTAGCCTGCGCTCTATTATTCTGTACGATACGTAAAATATAAAACAGCACAGCGTCCCCTAACGAAGCAGGAATTCAAGTATGTGAAAAAGTTCAGGAAATGTCAGATGCCTGAGGGACGCTGCTGGAAGACGACAAAATGCTGCATGTGCTAAACTAACAGGCTTAATTACAGGTGAATAAAATTACAAAAATTTTTCATTGAACATATTAAAGATTAATTTGTACACAAATGAGTGCCACTAAAACTTAGTTTGTCTTCAAAATATGAACTTCCTTCAAACCACTTCGGACACTCACCCCCCTCACCGGCCCGTCTGGCACCAACAACCATGCCACGCTCAAAATTGCTTAAATCACCTTTCTTTCCCATTCTGACATTCAGTTTGGAGTTCAGGAGATTGTCTTGACCAGGACCACACTCCTAAATGCATTGAAGCAACTGCCATGTGATTGCTTGATTAGATAATTGCATTAATGAGAAATTGAACAGGTGTTCCTAATAATCCTTTAGGTGAGTGTATATCCTCCGATAGAGAATAATTGGATATAATCCTACTGGAGATAGTAATAACAATTTTCTATCCTGTATTCAGGGATGGACATAATTGGTACGCAAGTACGCATTCACCCTTAAAAGCGATATGTGCGGCAATCTATTGTCGTTACAGCGTGAATGTGTACGTATTTTATGTGCATTTTCGCCGATACGACAGGAAATTATTATGTATTTTAACCTTTATATGCTAATTCTTACTTCATTTGTGGTATACAGCTTAAAATACATGGTAATTTCTTGTCATATCGGCACAAATGCACATGAAATACATACGCATTCACGCTGTTGCAACAATTGATTACCGTATATTATCATATACATAGATGCATATGTCAGCATATGTAAATTCCGTTACTATCCCGTGTTGGGGTTCTGACCAGGGGTGAGTCACAATATGTGTATTTGATCGTACTTGTGTTCTCCTGTACCCATTTTACATCATCTGCCATTGCCAAAGACCAGTTCCAATACTAAGAACACAAGTACAGAGGACAGAAAAAAATCCCCAGATGTTGGTCTTGCTCCACCCCAAATGTCGGTTGCATCCTTGCCAAATGAGACCAATCCCATGATTCATTGCACCCCAAGTTTGTTCCCGGAAAGCACGTTACCAAGAACGGTCTTGCCAAGACTGCAAGTGCAGTCTTTGTCTTCTTGGTATTGAGATTCACTCCAGTACTAGTATACACTACAAATGGAAGATGTCAGACTTTTGTGTTGCTTATGAATGTTCTGATGAAAGAAATGATAAAAATAAAACAGGGAATAACATTTCTCTTCATTTTTTAGTACATAAATGTCCTTAGAAAAAAATAGCAAGTTGATTCAGAATATAAGTTCTATTTACTATCTACAATAGAACGGAAATATGAAAACCTTAATTTTTAATTTGACTAAGTATTCTGCACCATGAATATATATCTGACAGTCATAACAAACCAAACTGCTTGAAAATCGGTAGAAAATTTGGTGATTTATGGTGACTTTAATTGTGGACAAACCTTTGCTTCTATATACAGACATGAATTACGGAGGAGTGGCTACCCCGTACCAAGATGGCGGCTGCATTTACGCATCGCTCCAATGAACAGCAGTGACCAAGTGTGTATGTGTATGATATCTATGGCGGAGGTCGCCCAGTCTTATGCAGCCAGACCCTGACTGAGGAAACGTTCGGTGTCACAGCCAGTTTGGGGGAGACAACGGGTGCTGTCTTAGGACAATATTGACGAATCTCAAAAAAGTACACCGAGCACATGCGCAAAAAGAACAAACTTTTTTTAAATTAAACTATACCAGAATGTATCAAACCCTGTTACACTTTTAACACTGGTACATCTTTAAGAAACCAGTCATTTTTAAACCCAAACTACACAAAAAAGAAGAAAATGACAAATGAATTAAATTATTATTATTTTTTTTTTATGTTTGGATGTTGTAGTCTGAAATGACACACACGCCTGAACAAAAACATTCAAAACATACAGTACAAAAAACAACACACACACACACACATATCACAATCCTTGTGTGAATGCAATCAAAAATAATATTAATTGTATTTAAAATAGAAATATGCAAACAAACTTACATTTCTGGATCCCTAGTGTTGTCCTGCACTTTCCACTGTGGTCCACACTATAGCAGAAGCAGAATGACATAGGTCTGGTGTATCCATTTATTTAATTGTTGCATTTTGTCCACATACACGTGTCTGAAGCAGGGAGAGACACACATTCTGTACTCACTTCAATTTCTCT